GTGCACCCGAGCCAAAACTCTGAACCGTCCATCATGAGAACTTCCATCTCAAAGAGCAACGCTACGGCTCTGATTCGGGGAGGCGAGTCGCTGGAAAACTCGGGCCGAGGAATCGGCGAGATCTGGTGCCTTCTCTTGCTTCCATTAATAACCCACTTCGCGAACGTTCCAAGCGGCCGTATCCTCCCCGTTCGATCTCCGCGATGGGACACGTGTAGTGAACTAACCCTCGATCCTTTGAAGTGATCATGGATCCCTGAATTGTAATTTCATTATCTCCTCGCCCTCCCGGCGCCTATTTAATCGTCCGCAACCTCTTCCCCTCGACTCATCGCTGCTCGCATAGTGTCGTTTTTGGTCGCAGGCCTCGTCTTGTTCTCGTTGTTCGATCTTATCCATGGCACCGCAGATGGTGGCTGGGCCGGCAGCTGGGAAGGGGATCCAAGCCGGGAGGACACCATCGAGGGCTTATGTTACGTTCTTGGCGGGGGATGGCGACTACGTGAAGGGGGCGGTGGGACTGTCGAAGGGGCTGAGGAAGGTGGGATCGGCCTACCCGCTGGTAGTGGCTGTCCTCCCCGACGTGCCGCAGAGCCACCGCCGCCTGCTCGCCTCCCAGGGCTGCATCATCCGCGAGATCGAGCCCGTGTACCCCCCGGAGAGTCAGACCCAGTTCGCTATGGCCTACTACGTCATTAACTACTCCAAGCTCCGCATCTGGGAGGTAATCCATCGTCATCTCTCTCGCGCACTGTCGTTTAGGGGCTACTCTTGTCGCGATTGGCTTTAACGAGGGGCGGCTTGCAGTTTGTGGAGTACCAGAAGATGGTGTACCTGGACGCGGACATACAGGTGTACGAGAACATCGACCACTTGTTCGACCTGCCGGACGGGCACTTCTACGCGGTGATGGACTGCTTCTGCGAGAAGACGTGGAGCCACACGCCGCAGTACAAGATCGGCTATTGCCAGCAGTGCCCCGGCAGGGTGGCGTGGCCAGCCGACGAGCTCGGCCCGCCGCCCGCCCTCTACTTCAACGCCGGCATGTTCGTCCACGAGCCCAGCCTGGCCACCTGCGAGTCCCTCCTCTCTACCCTCAAGGTCACTCCTCCCACCCCCTTCGCCGAGCAAGACTTCCTGAACATGTTCTTTAAGGACATCTACAAGCCGATCCCGTTGATCTACAACCTGGTACTGGCCATGTTGTGGAGGCACCCGGAGAATGTCGAGCTCGAGAAGGTGAAGGTGGTGCACTACTGCGCAGCGGTACGTATGCGCTCGCGCGCTTGCTTGCTTCATAGGAATGCTAAGTTGGATGATGGTTTGGCTACCGAGCAACCGTGTGCTGAGTGCAGGGTTCGAAGCCATGGAGATACACGGGTAAGGAGGCGAACATGGACCGGGAGGACATCAAGATTCTGGTGAAGCGGTGGTGGGATGTATACAACGACACCAGCTTGGACTACAAGGGCGCAGCGGCGACGGAGGGCGTGGTTGTCCCTGCGGCGGCGGAGGAGGAGCGGAAGCAGCCGCTGCTGGCGGCGCTGTCGGAGGCTGGGGCGATAAAGTACGTGACCGCGCCGTCGGCTGCCTGACGAGGGTTATCGTGTCGTGTCTCTTTTTGGTTTACGGGAAGATGCCACGTGGTGACTTTGTTTAACTTCCAATTAATGGAATATGACGTCTGCTTTGGTTTGATTTCATGCTAATAAGAGTTGATTACAGCAACCCAAAGAGCAACTCGTTCGTCTTAAACTGAGTGAGATTATGTTAACCACGAACGAGATGGACATGCAGTCGTCATGCTATATTAAGTTCCCATTACAGCAACCAAAAGGTTTAGTTGTTTCGAGTAAGTGTTAGAAGATACCAGAAGATACTAACCACACGCTAAGAAGAAGAGGATACATTAACCCTCCATCAAAGTCTTCTTCTGCATTAGGTTGTGCAGGTGGATGACACTGTGAGAAAGCGTGACGTTGATGAGAGTTGATGGTCGTCTTCCACCTTAAAGCTGCAGCGTTGACGCACGTCTGGCAACCACCGACAGTGGGATATATCATACTTTCCGTAAGGTGCGGGGATCTCACATCGGATGGTGTTGGGCAGCTGAATGATGCAGAAGGAGCAGCAGTGGACAGGGAAAGAAGCAATTGGGGGGTCCTAAACATCACCCTCCGAACTCTGCAAGTTCGAAGTGCGTCCAAAGCAAAGCATCTACAGGATCAGCTGGCGAAGTCTCAGGGAAAAGCTTCGCTGCGCCATCATCATCAAAGCCATTGCATCGATCTTCGTCTCTCTCTCTCTCTCTCAGTGATGATGGATTCGATGATTCATGTCCGACTGCTGTGGGCACATCGAGGAGACATCATGATCTACAAGATACAAAAAAATCTCTTAAATCATTTTCTATGAAGTATCCATATCACAGATCCTTTCTTTCCTTCATACAAAAGATTAGGTCGGGGTTCGATCACATAAAACCCTTCTGTTAAGCTAGTATATCTTCATCCATTTTAGGCATATAGCTCATAAAAGGTTTAGAGATCGTGTTGTAAGTTTGAAATGGAGACATACTTCAAAAAAAGTTACTCATATAGTAGTATTATTATTCTTGTAATCTCTAAGGGAATATTTTCTTTAAGTGTTCTATTTAAGTGATATATCTATCAAAGTTTTTATCATCTTCAATAACCGATGTGATATATCCAATAGACGTTAATTGAAAATAATGTTAATATCATTTTCCTCTCAAAATATAAATTAATCTATTTAATATATAATATTTTTAAATTTTACTTTATTATATTTTATATTTTCCTTATTTTATAATTATTTATTATTTTAATAAATTAAGTTATTTCTCAGTCCATCTTAATCCTACGGTCCACATCGACTTTATATATCCTAATACTGATCTCCAAACAAATATCTTCAATACCCACAATCTTCGATGTACCACTATTTTCCATTTTGACATTACCAAATTCACCAGCAATGTAAGATCTAAAGAAATCACCATGAGAAGTGACATGAAATGAAGCATCAGAGTCAATTACCCAATTACTGTCCTGAGCTACAAGACTAACACAACCTTCATCACAGACAATAGTGATATTACCTTCAGCAGCAACTATATTAGTCTCTTTTTTATTTTTCTTCATTTCATTATGTTCTCGCTTCCAAAACCTACACTCTTTCTTCATGTGACCTAGCCTGTTACAGTGAAAACATTTGATATCTCTTCTAAACTTGGATCTTCCTTTACATCCATGTGAGTTTCTGCTATGACTTCTTTCATGTCTTTCTTGTTTTTCAGTAACAAATGCACCAGAAGAAGATTCACCCTATTCTTTTCTTCTGGCATCTTTATTTAGCAGACTGTCTTTAACCATATCAATAGTTAGAGTTCCCTCTAGCGTGGAGTTGCAAATAGTCACCACATACGCTTCCCAACTTTCTGGTAAAGAGCTGAGAAGTAACAATCCCTGCATCTCATTATCTATATTCATTTTCATAGCAACCAACTTGTTTGCAAGACTCTGAATTAGGCTTATGTGCTTAACAATGTTACCACCATCTTTATACTTCAAATTTACAAGCCTTCTGAGGAGGAAAATTCTATTTCCCACTATCTTTTTTGCAAAGAGGTTTTCTAACCTTTGCCAAATATCAGCTTTGGTTTCATCTGAAATATGCTCATGCAAGTTTATATCCACCCATCTTCTAATATAGACAATGATTTTTCTATGTTGAACTTCTCATTCTTCATCGTCCATAGTAGAAGGTTTATCTTTAACCTTGATAGGCTTATATAAATCTTTGCAATAGAGCAAATATTCCATCAGATGCCTCCAAGTGGAATAATTTGATGAGTTCAATTTAATCATACCATCTGACTGCTCCATTTCAATCACACAAGAAAAACTAGCACCAAACAACCTGTTGCTCTGATACCACTTGTTGGGAAAAACCTGTTAAAGCGAAATATTCTTTTCCCTCTTTGTGTATCAAAATGGGTTCTTCATCAAAATACCAACTTGATATCCAAATGTAAATATCAGCACAACATAAACAATAGAGCAAAAAACCAATCACACAATGAGACCAAATCTTTTTAACGTAGAAAACCCAATGTAGAAAAAACCACGGGACCGTATAATATCAATAATAATGATAACAGATTTACAGTATGTCTTCTCTAGAATAACTAGAGGATCAATATAATATCAAGAATATAGATCTTGGCTCTGGAATAGCATATCTTCATCGTATACGTATAGGACGGATCTCCTCCAAAAAAAAAAATTTTAGGTCTCACAAAGTGTGGATATCATAGAAAAGTATCTTAGAGAGGGTAAACTGCAGATCAACACCGTTAGGATTGTAAAGTTTACTATAAGGATTCTCCACATAAAATTTGGATCGAAACTTACAACATTTGGTCATAGATCGTCAAATAGAAAACTCATAAATCTAACCTTTCTCTCTTTATTTCTCTTTCCTCTGCACGCGGCTGCAGACTGAACGCTGCAATCTATTTCCTCACATTTTGCCCTTTCTCTCTTAATTACTGATTTGGGTTTATGGCCCAAATTTGTCCAAGCCGAGCTGGACCCAACAATTCCCAACACTTAATCCAACACCAATCGTCAAAACTAGGGTGATATCATGTCATCATTACCACAATTACAGATGTGGATGGCCTTTATCTTGCCTCATCGCACATTTCATGGGATGTAATTAACGCTTCTGATGGATCGAAATAAATGGACCAGAAAAATGTAAGAAAACGTTGGTTAAAATATATTTGTACTCCCCAATCCAAATCTGTCGTTCAACTGCTTTTGAGGTCAGTTGGAAGCGTTCTCTTGCCAAAACTCTGACGTTGTTGACCATGCCGTGATGAGTAGGTCAACGCCATTTTTGCTGGGATCCCAAGCTGCTCTTCTTGGTCATACAATACTCGCAAAAATAGGCATCCTCACATGCAACTCTGTCATCTGCATGTGAAGAAGGTTGGGAAGCATAAGACAGCAGTGACAGGATATGAAGGTGAAGCAGTATGAGGAGCGAAGAGGATAGGGAAAGCATGGGTGGAAATCGCCTGCGTCTTCCTGCTCTTATGATACTTCTTCTATGTTCGCCAGCTGTTGCTCACTCCAAATGCGTCCTCTTCAACTTCGGCGACTCCAACTCCGACACCGGAGGGCTCATGGCCGGCCTCGGCCTCTATCTCGGCCCCCCCTCCGGTCGCCAGTTCTTCCACCGCCCCACTGGCCGCTTCTGCGACGGCCGACTCTACATCGACTTCCTCTGTGCGTCTCCCACATCTCTTCTTCTCTCTCGTGTCGATTTCCTGCACCTCTGTGATCATAACACCGAATCCTACAGGCGAAAGGTTGAAGATGAGCTATTTGAGCCCCTACTTGGAGTCATTACCAGGATCAAACTTCACCCACGGGGTCAACTTTGCTGTAGCTGGTGCGGCCACCGAGTCAACTGCGATCCCTTTCCCTCTCTCCACCCAAGTGCTCCAGTTCCTCCACTTCAAGAATCGCACTCGCGAACTCCGGCCCCAAGGTGATGCACGTCTTCTCTTCATCTTCACCAGTTGATCGATTCGGTACGTGCTGATGGATTGGGTGGATCAGGCTCTGGATCACTGCTCAGCGAAAAGGAGTTCCAGAACGCAGTCTACTCCATCGACATAGGGCAGAATGATGTGTCCACTCCCTTCAGTGCAAACCTGAGCTACGCAGAGGTCGTCGTCAAGATCCCATCAATCCTCTCCAGGATCGGAGCTGCCATTGAGGCAAGTCAATCTCTTGTTCACACTCAAGTAGAACCCTCAGTTCATCATCATTTGCATCACTGCAGCTGTTGCATGAGAATGGAGGTAGGAAGTTTTGGATCTACAACACGGGCCCCTTGGGCTGTTTGCCGCAGAAGCTTGCGCTGCTGAAGAAGGACGACAGCGAGCTCGATTCACTGGGATGTCTTGCTGATCTCAACGATGCAGCCAAAGCTTTCAATGCTGGACTGAGTGAGCTATGCGACCGACTGAGATCCGACTTCAAGAATGCCACCATCGTTTACACTGATGTCTACGCCATCAAACAAGATTTGATAGCAAACCATACCAAATACGGTGAGTTCCGCTGCTCCAATCTCTGAAGCCATCTTGCTGCGTATGAAGAATCACTGATGGTAGTAGTGTATGTCTGTCTTCTTCCAGGCTTTGAGAATCCACTGATGGCATGTTGTGGGTACGGTGGACCTCCGTACAACTACAAGTTTAGGATGACTTGTGGTGAGCCGACGGTCACCGCTTGTGCTGAGGGGTCTCGCTACATTAGCTGGGATGGTGTTCATAACACTGAAGCTGCCAATTCCATCATCGCATCCAAAATCCTCTCTGCCAAGTACTCCACACCTCAGATTAAGCTAAAAGATCTCTGCAAAGGCTGACATCTGAAGCTGTAGTTCAGTTGTTGACAGTAAAAGTTGTATGCATTATTCCTAGTATCAATTTAAACAACAGGATCAACCTTACCTTCATGGTTCTGTTGCTCTGTTTCTAACAGCCTAATTGAAATCTTTGAGATGGTATCGAATTAATTTAATATGATTGAAAAGTACATAAGATATTGAGGCTGTTTGAGGACAATCTCGTCATTTCATGCCACATAACACACGAGCCGTCTCATCCAGAAGTAGAAACGGGCGAGGCCGCTCTCCGTTCGTTACGTATCCGTTCAGTTCTCTCCAATGACCGTCCATTGTGATGGCGATCAACTGCGACTTGGAATCGGACGGTTAGATGATAACTGGATGGGTCTCTAAATGGAGAGATTTCTACCTGTCCTGTACTCTTCCCTCCTCTTCTACACGCCTCTCCCTCTCTCTCTCTCTGTCTCTCCGTCGTCTCGTTGTCTGTTCGTTAGGGCTTGCGATCGCCACCGGTCGCGAGGGTTGGAGCCATGGAATTCTTGCGGTTTGGGGCTGAGGTGGCGGCAGGAGAGGAAGCCGCGACGGGGTACTGGATGCGATGGCAGACGCTCGTCTGCGCTCTGATCGTCGTCGCCCCGGCGGTCGCCGCGGTGGTTGTCGCGGCGCGGGCGCCGGCGCCGGCGCGACCGCTCAGGGCCGTCGATCTCTGGGCGCCGTGCTGGGCCGGGATGCACCCGGCCTGGCTTCTCGCGTACCGCGGCTTCGTGTTCTTGGCCATGGCGTGGCTACTCTTCCAGATGATTCTGTTTCGCGGATTCTCCGCGTTCTACTTCTATACTCAGTGAGCCCCCTTATTACCATAGCCGTCTTAACATGAAAACATGCTTTGTTCTCATTGCTAATTTTATTGATTAGTTAGTTCTATTCATTGTGAGACGGGGGAGAAATGTTTTCTTTCTGATTCTGGAGATGAAGAGAAGCCGATTTTCTTTCTGATGCTGGAGATGAAGTGAAACCGATTAGGGAATTTGGGTTAGCCTGTGGATTATTAAATCCTCGATATGGTAGCAGTAATTTACCACCGAACTGGAAACTGGACTGGTTGTGATCTTATCTGGTCTATTCTCTGAATGGCATGAATACCGTCGGCTGCTGAGTCGGCTCCAGTCGGCACGGTTGGTTCACTGTCGAAGGCGCAGGTTCATCCTTGTGTCTCCTCCATGCCGATGTGGGAGTACTGATGTGGCGAACCAGCGCGGGAAGTCTACAAGGGAGGTGGTTTGCTGGGGCTGATCTGACCTTGGAGCGGTGAGGCCTGGTAGAGGAACTGGGATCTGCTCGGCAGTGAGGCCCTCTCTTGGCTGTTGGGTCATCTTCAAGCTGCGAGGTTGTCTCGTGGGCGCCAGTGATTCTGCACAACAGGTCAGTGATTCTGCACAACAGCTCGACCCCTTCGATGCTTAAGTCAGTGTAAGGCGGAGGATGCGAAAGACAGCAGTATGAGCTGTGTAAATATGAGAGAGTAAAGGGTTGAGAGATTGTTGCCCCCCAATCTTGGCCTGGGGTGTGGCTCTTATGCTTGGGTGTCGTGCCCTCTCCGATTGTGATCTTATCTGGTCTACTCTCTGATTGAGCATGAATACTGTTGGCTGGTGAGTCGGCTTCTGTTGACACGGTTGGTTCACTGCCAAAGGTGCAAGTTCATCCTTGTGTCTCCTTCGTGCCGATATGGGAGTGTTGATATGGTGAACTAGCATTGGAAGTCTATAAGGGAGGCGGTTTGCTGGGGCTGATTTGACCTTAGACCAGTGATTTTGCACAACAGGTCGGTGTCCCGGGGAGGGGGGCTTCCCGGCTCGACCTCTTCGATGCTTAAGTTAGTGTAAGGCGGAGGAGGCGAAAGACAGTAGTATGAGCTGTGTAAAGATGAGAGAGTAAAGGGTTAAGAGATTGTTGCCCCCCCCAATCTTGGCCTGGGGTGTGGCTCTTATGCTTGGGTGTCGTGCGTTCTCCGATTGTGATCTTATCTGGTCTACTCTCTGATTGAGCATGAATACCGTTGGATGGT